GAATGACAGTTGCCAATCAATAGCTGTCCACCCACCTCCCCCAGAGGAATGACAGCAAACAGAAACGCTTTTGTTAACTGTATAGCGGGCTCAAATCTCACAGCTGCACATGGAAACTTAAAAAAAGAAAGAATAGTTCCACATCATATTGTACACCAGGCCTGACAATATTGAACACATCAGAGCGGAGACAGAGACAGTGTAGACCGAGGGGAGACGAAGTGGAGACAGAGGCTCAGTAGAGCAGCACAGAGTGAATTTACAGAGTCAACATTTCTCCTCTAATAAAGAGCACGTTCCTCCTCTGCCGCTCACTGCAGGCTTAGAGAGTCTGGCTTTATTGGTTCATATCTGACTGACTGACTGCAGCCACAGGGGGAGTGTGTGTCTATATGTGTGTGTGTGTGTGTGTGGTCAGCATTCACACAATATTAAACCCTCACTATATCAAATCTTTCATGGAAAAGAAAAGAGACAAGTTTATGGAGAGAGAGCAAATGCCCCGAGGACAGATGTGCATGGCAATAAAGTTTACTTTTTCTGGTAATCTTATGTCATATTTGATATAATAAGAGCCAAGGAGGTTAAACTGGCTTTGTTTAAGGGTTAGACTTATGGAATCACTCCTTTAGTATCTCAAGGGACTTCCTGCCGTGAGATTTGTTTAATTAGGCAGGTATAGGAGGCTTTGTGAGCGGTTTATCAAGTCAGCAAACTTGACTATTACAACCAATAGGGAAATAAAAAAGCAAACACCTGCTGCTCTGTTTGTCCTCAGTGTCTCTGTGGACGTCTGATGGCAGTTCCACAACCTGGGGGACAAAAAGATAGGACAGACAATCAACTAGGACTTGATCTTAAAGCTCCGTGGCAGCACCTATACATTATTGTCAGTTTTGAGGTCAATAGTTGGAAATTAAAAGTTGCCTCAGTGCTTCTCTTCTCTCCCGAGGCTCAGTTTGCCATCATTCTTCCCGTCACATTCTCTTCTCCTGCATTCTTTTTCTTCATGCCGATCTACTTTTTGCAATCATCAGCATCCGAGTGGAGGAGGTGCCGTTTCTAGGTAATTGCAGCATGCCTCAGTGAGTGTGTGTGGACTTTTTATGTACGTCTGTATGGTCCATCTAAGCATTCACACCTCCCTCCTGTGTATCACCAATAAAAGTGATGCACAACCATGGGGAAAATGTATTTCTTATGCCACGAATCTCCTCTCCATCCCGCTTTCTACCTCTTAACCTCCATTACTATTCACCTGCAGTCTCACCTGGCTGCATACATCAAACTGGCTTTAAAAGCCTCTTTTCCAGAGAGATGGCTGGCTTTATTCACCCCATCTCTGATGAAATTTGCAAGCTGTCAGGAGACTTGAGCAGGAAAGTCAAAAACCAATCTGGCAAGCATGTCCTTGCTACAGGAGCACATTTAGGATTTTCCCCAGGCACCAACACACTGATTGGATCTTTTGGTGCATGGTAGTCCTGCATGCAGATGATCTACAGAAACACACAAAACTACAGATGAGCTAACCAAAGACAAACCGGGCCTTGCAGCATTCAGTTCTACAAATTCCTAAACCTCCGTAAAAACCAGTGCAGAAACTATCGACACAATTATGGAAAGTATTGACTTTCTCACTTCACTGCGGAGACGACTTCTGTTAACAGAAAGGAAATTCCCCAGTAAGACACATACACACACACACACACACACACTCCGTCATTCCAATCTCTCTTTTTTTCATTTCTCTCCTCATTCTGTGTCATTTCTCTGTCCCCCTCCTCTCACCCCATCCCCTTCTTTCTTCTTCACATGCATTTTTATCTCTTTTGCTCGGTTCACCCCAAACTCCCTCTCATCCATCAACTCTGTTGGTCGGGTCTTGGCGGTGTGCCACCATCATATCTCAGCCACCCATTCTCCCATATCTTTCAGGAGTCATCTCTGAAGCCCATCCCTTTGGTGCTCTAGATGGATCACCTATGCTAAAAATGACAAAACTATTTATCGATAAAACGGTCCTCATGTCAAGTTGAGGGCAGCGGAAGAGACTAAGACCAACATTCACAAAGCTTACAGATTCCAGACAGACAAACCTTCTACACATGCGTGCACAGTTCACAGTACATATACACACATTCACCGCTCGCATTCATTTCCATTGCAGCAGCATAAGGGTTGACATATATCTGCGACTAGTTTAATTACTCACAGTAATTAGCCAGAGGCAGGAGCTACCAACGATGCTCTTCTCTCTGTCCGTCTCACCTCTCTTCCTCTGTCTGGATCTCTGTGCGCGTGTCAACCAGCATGCCAGTGTTTTATAAAGAGCAGGACACGCCTGCATTGTTATATTATGACCGGTGACTGGCATCACGTATACCGCTTGAAGAGTTTATGCCCACCATAAAGTGACAGTTTAAACCCCGTATCTTGCCTTTTATTAAAACCCCTCTTCCCCTAAACCCCCCCAGTCCTGATTTCTTTTGTTTTTCCAGTCCTCACCCACACAATGTTTTGGAATTTTTTTTATTCCCATCCCGCATCAAAGCAATCCAAGCAAACCCACTCCTCTCTGTTCAGTCAGCTAATTGAATTTCCATCCGACTTTTAATTAACAGCAGGGCCGATTTGCATAAAGTCAGATCATTTGCATATGGTTGACAGCCCCTCACCCCTACATGTCTGGCACAGAGCCAAGGGAAGGGGTGGAAACTGACATCGGCGAGAGAGGAATAAGGAGGGAGGAAGACACGGATGGAAGAGAAGGTGAGGTGTCTGCCAACAAAGGAGAAGAGAAACAGCAGATGGGGGAAGGAGGAGACAAATGGGGGCAAACAAGAACTCATGCCATGAAATGGGGGAGTCAGACGTGCACACACACAGCTACATACACGCACACAAACAAACATATGCACAACATGATCACCGTGTGCATGCACACACGGCATCACACTGGCACAAATATCTCCACAGATTTTGCAATCAAGTTAGCTAATTAAAAAATCAAAAGGATAAAAAAAATGAACGCGATGCATGCTAAATAGTTATACTCATCTTACAAACAGGTGTTAATTGGTGGCACGATGGCTCTATGCAGATGAGCTGGGTGGATAACAAGATATGGCAATGAGGTGCAATGCAACGCATTTGTCGACCAACATCATGGCAACTTCATAGAGGGGGGACGCTGCATGTGGACGACATGCACTCATGTAAGTGTACATACACATACTAAACTATAGGCTGACTTTTGTATTAGATAAGGAAAGTCACTTCCAAGGACATTCCTCCCCCAAATATACTGACACTAGTGTAACCACTACATTAGGTTGAGTATTCGTCAAAATGCTTCCTGTCCAGAGAGCTCCGATAGGTCCCATCCATCACGCTGTGCCAACTTTGACCAATAAGCATGCCCTCATCTATTAATACCTGTCCAATAATGCCTGCTGGAGTGATCGGTCTTGTCTATCTAGCAATATTGTGCAACGGTGGATCACATACTTGAATCTGCAGTGCAATCTGGCAGCAGAGTGGCAAAGCTGTCAAGGTGTCACTAACCATTAAATCAGCCGGCATGGTGCAATCTGGAGCATGTACACACCTTTACTGTGTAAACTCTGTGTACAACTCAATGTTCACTCAAGCAGAACTATCACCACAAGCTACATAACAATAAAACCTGAAATACAACTACAGCTCTACATGCGCTTGTACGCAAACACGCAGCCTGTAAACAAACTCACGGGTTCGTTCTCCGTCTGAGTCGCCAGACTTCATTAGTATACAGGAAGAAGGCAGCTCATTAAGGAATGTCATTAAGGCAAGCGGTGTAGCGCTGGGTGGCTGCCAACAGGACGACTGCTGGGTGGCATGAAGGGAGGGGACGAGCCTCGGCCGGCGAGAGTTGAGATGCAGCTGCTTCTCTCTTGTTCCCGGGGGAGATGGGAGAGAGAGGGAGAGAGTTGTAGAAAAGGAGTAAGAGAATGTGGGGGTCTCAACTTATGAGTTGAGGTTATAGGGGTTTGCTGGAGGGTTGGGGGTTGTGGGCGTTGCAGGCGTGTGCCATCTTAATACTGCAGAAGACGGGGTGCGGCAGACGCCATTTTGAGGAGCGATGCAGCGGGTCGCCATTTTGAAGCGTATGGGGAACATGGGAATTGATAAAAGACGAACATCACATTATGCAAACATCTGAGCCATAGTTTACATTTTGGCCCTCAGAGACGCTGATTGAGAACTTATCAAGTCAGATAACCATTAACTTTGCTGCAACAATTTAATGTCAGATAAGCAACTGATATTCTACATTTCACCAAACCTTCCGTTTCTCTCACATTCACATGTACAAACTGGATTTAGCTCCGTCTTTTTGTTCCCAGTATGTGAAGAAACCATCACTTTGTTTTGCATCTCAGTTTTGTGTACATCCAAAATCAAGCATGAGGTTCTTTAAATTAATGAGACATGAAAAACACTGCGATTGTAGTCGTTTTTACTTGACGTCAGCAGTTAGCTCCGTCTACATTCTGCTGCTGCTCCAGTACCTCAGGACGCTGACGTCTGCACATCCTCACACCGATCCGAGGCCTTGTCTGGAGCTCAGGACTCGTCTTCTCTCTTTCTAAAAAAGGAGGAAATGCATTTGAGTAATTAGTGCTAATCAGCCATGCACTTACCTAGCAGGCGGCCATATTGATTTCAGAGGCTAATCAAGGAAAAAGCCTAATGACATGGCAATTAAAATGCTTCCGAACGTGAATTACACATGCAATTAAATGCTATGGGGATCCAGTGTAGTAGAAAATGATCTAAAGTGTGGTCTTCTGTAGTCAGAGCTGATGAAAGAGTCTATTTGTTCATCTTAAGCTACTCTACAGGCCGGGTCTGTACATGTATCTATGGGGGGGGGGGACGGTTCATACAGTCGTTTAAAAGGGAAAATTTACATTATTGCAACGGTAATATTTAAAAAATTCATCCAAGACATTATATATTTACAACTTTAATCTTTATTTCTTTAAAATAAGATAAAAGACAATGTGCTATTATCAATAATACAAGTACAAAAAAATGTATGAGAACACAGAAGAATATACAGCACAGAGCATGACAGTGACAGCTTTTAGGGAAACATATATGGTTCAAACTGATAAAGATCCGTGGTATATCATGAGAAATAGACAAAAAAAGTGGGCTGGTCAATGGAAGACTGGAGATAAACAAGAAAAAGATTGAAAAATAACCAAATGTAGTCAACTTGGCACCAACAAACCTGCTCTCTTTCCAGTTTCAGCCAAAATGCTATAAAACACTCCAATAAATAAGGCACTACAATGGGCCCGAAAGCAAGTATGTGTTTGAGTGTGTGTATCTGTGTGTGCATGTGTGAATAATCTGATTAAGTGGACCACAACTGATGATAAACTTTCACATTTTATATCATGCATAAATACTTATTCATCTTAAAATCACTCTTAAGATATTTCTATTAATAAACAATGACATTAAAGGGAATTTAGGAGGACGCCAACGTACCGACATCCATATTTAACATTTAACAAACAGTTAAAGCAAAACACAGCTTGTGACAAAAAAGAAACAAACAAATGATGTGCTGGTCGATAACCTTTTTATGTTTACCTCGGGTGAGGGAGCTGACTGACGCTGCATCATACAGACAGACAGGTATGACTGTATGTGCGTCGCATGTTGGCATGCTTGTCAATGGCAGACAATGTAGTTATCAAGTGCAATACTGAATTATAAGCACTGCTAAAAAAACATCAAACTTAGAAGAAAAAGTTGAGGATTATAACACGTTACTGGTTAAGGCAACTCTGACAATGAAAGATATTAAGTGTAAGTCGTTTCTGTTTGGCAGATGCCTTAATGTTTGGCACCACAAAGAAAAACCAAGAAAGTTAACCGTAAGATTTGGAAGCAGGTAAAATCTAGATGCAGCCCATGAAGAAGAATCCAACATCTCTTCACTCTCTTTGTCAGCGACAGTTGAGACGATAGTGTTTTATTAATGAGGCAATAAACTGACATGAACAGTCCATTCAGCCGCCGACAGTCACTGAAAATAAAGTCCCTCTGGCAGGCGTTTAAGTTTCTATCCCACCTGTGAGATGGATGGAGTGGAGGGCTGGAGTGGTGGAAGACTGTCAATGATGGTCAAAGTCTCATAGCAAATGAATTACACCCAGTTGAGGGTCAACTGCAGTCAGGCAGCTGGCGTCTATATCTCGTGGGCGGCAAGACGATGTTCTGGCACACCGTTGGCATGAGCCACCACCGTGTTGTTCTCATTGAGGCGCCTCACGCGGTACATTTCATAGTGGATGCTGCTGGTGATGTCCTTAATGTTCTGCATATGGGTCCTGGAAGTAACATACACACCCATTAGAAACCAGTAGAAGAGATGGACACACCTCAAAACCTTTTTCTGGAATAACCATATCAAACGCAAATTATTACATTTCATAAAACACACACTGACACAGCGACACAAGGCTGCATGAAAACAGAAACATTTAAGACCAAGACAAAATGATATGGAGACAAAATTCCCTCACCTGATGAGGAGATCCCGTAAATAGGCAAACTCACAGTGGGCTATGTTCTCAACTAAAGGAGACAGAAAAGTTACGAGTTATCAGAAATAACTGAAAGTGAGCTAACGCACACAAAAAGGACGGCATGACAGTTGTGAGGTAAGCTTTGGTGCTATTCCATTTCCCTAAACAGTCCACTAGGTGGAATCAGTGATCTCAGTGTGACATCCCTGTAGACCAAGAGCTGCTGTTTGTTGTCTCAACACTCAAATGCCCTCAGCCATTGCAGAACTCTGTAGAGTCCTCCTGAAGAGATAAGCTTGTATGCGTGTGTGTGTGTATAAATTTGAGTAAAATGTACGTATATCCTATGAGAGCATCCACAGTGTATCCTTTGTGGTACAAAGGGGGGGGTGTGTGGGGGGGGGACCAAGCAAACACATCAGACCTCTTCAGACAGACTGTGTCTGCTAGAGGCCTGAACCAGCTGTATGGCACACGACACCAGTCTGCACACTGAATGGAGTATTGTTTCATTGACTGACTGTCTCAGTGAGGTCTTTACCAGACTCCTTTTGTCTTTTCTTCTCAACAAAACCCCCTCTGGGTTAGTTATGTACACACTGAGGTATTCTGTACTGGAAGTGTCTCTTCCAAACAATTTAAATAAGGAGAACAAAAAAGTGAAATGGGTAAGAAGCGGGGAGAGAGTAATACCTTCAATGGTTCCCCACTTGGTCTTCCTCCCCAGCAGCCTCCTGCCATTGACCTGGTACTCCTGGTCGCTGCCCACCACAGCAAATGGGATCATCTCCTGCTCACAGGTTAAGTATCAACAGACAACCGAGTCAGAAATTATTCATTTCAAGTACATTAAAAATGACTGAATGGTTTCAGGATGGCAGATAATAGACTCGCAACTCCTGCCACATGTATGTGTAATTGCTTTGAAAGTTTTCGCTCACCCTGATCTTCTCATTGATCATTCTGTCCTCGGCATCCTCGTCAAATTCTTTCTGAGGGTACACGTCGATCCCGTTGGCTCGCAGCTCTTCCCTGATCTGGTGAGAGCATGTTCAAACATGAAAGGTTACGTTCACATTACAGGGCTTAATGCTCAATTACATTTCTGTTGACATTCATGTTTGAAGTGACCCATACCCGACATCAGTGTGAACAGATGTCCGCCCTGAAATGTCTCACATGCAACCATAAACGTCACACACGAGGGGGATTGGCCAGTATCTCGAAAATACACACTGGAGTTGTTGAAGTCTAGGGACTGTCAACATATTGTTCGATTTAACAGATCTGGGTTCCCCATTACAAAGATGATACTCCTAAATCAAAACATACTGTATGACTTTGCATGACTGGATGTGTAACGTTACTGCTCGATAGGGTGAGCAATCTGCACAATGAAGTGTGACTTGGAAAAACACACATGAATTCCAATATGACCAGCGACTGGATTTAGGACCACATATGAAAATGGCCCAGATCTGGTTGGAAAAAATCGGATGCAAAAGATCACATCTGTGTCACTTGAGAGCCACGGATTAAGGCCTTGTGATGTGAACATAGCCAAAGAGAAACGCAACAAACTTTGAAGCCACTACTGATTTGAAAGGATACAAACTAAGGCCTTTAATTGCAGGAGTAATTAGACGGACGCGCTTGATGCAGTCTTGAGACATCAAACAAATGTACCTTAATCTGGCAGTATTAACACTAATCTGCCTTCTAATCTACTCCAAAAGTTTGGGCTTAGTGGTTAATCGCTGTCTGTATACAAACAAAACAGAAAACCTCACAAGATGTGCACACAGCAGGTCTGCCATGCACCGACACAAGCAAACACAAGCACACAAGCATGCACACATAAACCAGGGGGTTTATGCCGCTAATGAGAGGAGGGGAAAACCTGAGATCCTTGCAGACTGCCAATAAAAACATACAAATGAACAGCTGCAGCCTTATTAACCGCGTAGAGGAAGTGTAGAACGTAAAGGGTAAAGAAAGAGACAGATGCTCTTGAGTCGAGCCATGTTTTGTGACTGTCCAGAGAGCGAGGGGAGAGTGCAACTACAGGAACTTATCTCTGGTTACTGCTCCACAAACATGGAAAAATGCACGCATGAAGAGGGAGAAGAAGAAAAAAAAAAAAAAGAGCATGTTTCTAGATTGCAGATTAATGGCAGAAAAAAGAAAGATAGACATTTTAGATACAGTAAAACAGAAATCTATTAAAAGAATAAACAAAAGAGGAAATGGCACCAGAAAAATGTTACCTTCTTTTTGAAGAAGTCCCTCTCCTCCAGGGTGAGTGTGTCGGCCTTGGCGATGACTGGGACAATGTTGACCACCTTACTGAGACGTCTCATGAATTCTACATCAAGAGGCCGCAGACTGAGACGGGGAGAGACAAGAAAACAAGAAAAATGACACGAGTTATAACACAACTCCTCCACCAGGGGGCAGGTGTTCCCAATAATTCTCCCAGATGGAGGAACTCCTGTACCTAACAACAGAGTATTAACAGTTCAAACTGTTGTACCCATGACCTAATCATACTTTATACGTGTGAACATCTATTTGATGAGGTTGAAAGGAGTTGTGGTCAGTTTGAGTGGCCCCCAGTTTGACAAAAGCATCTGCATGTGGTTATGGTAGAGGATTCTGGCCTGGCTAACAACACTTTGACAAAGACCAGCTATTGTTAACAAGGAGTCTCATGCACTTATGCAAGAGCACGCTCAGAAAAAGACAAAAGTGCAAAATTGATTGCATGCTCCCAGACACCCACACAGACTGTGTGTCTCTCTCGTCCTTCCTTCCTCTCTCCCATTAGACTTTTTAAGGCAATCCTTGAGCAGCTGCTGGCCAGCCCATGTGACATCTGCAGAGTTGGATCAACATGAAACCTTGCTGGATGGGGCGCGGAGACAGGGGGCCTTTTCACACCAGCCCCCTGCCAGAGTAAAGACAGGTCCATGACACAAAAATGAATAGAGGTGCAGCACATGAATAGTGCTGATGATCAACGGTGTGTGTGTCTTTGTGTGTGTGCTCAAACGAGGCTGACAATCCACAGCTGCCTTCAACATTTTCCCCAAGACCGGCCGCAGCGCTTGACTGGAGTAACACAAAAGCAAAGGCTAGAACATGCTCTGTGAAAATATTACTTGATGGACACACGAGACTGTTTGCACTCTGCCCCTAATTTCTTCTGCTGGTATACGCCAACCCCCTGAGCTCCGAACAGCGAGGCGCTGAACCAACACAGTGTGGAGAGGGACGGCAGTTTATGCAGTTCGATCAGAGCCAGATGTGCGTCTCTGTAATAGATCCAGGGAGTGAAACTCGGGACATTGTGCTGCTGCAGGGCCTGGCGAGAGCAGCCCATCTTTCCTGTGTGTGTGTGTGTGTGTGTGTGTGTGTGGTGGTGTTCTGGGATATGTTGCATCGTGCTGCGGAAATGTGTGTGGGCGTGTGTGTGTGTTCAATATGAGGGGTAAGAAATGTTTCACATTGCCTCACCAAGAAGCTCGAGGACAAACAAAGAAAGTCTGTATCTTTATATGATCCGTCAGCACATGCTCAACGGCTGCATCTCGTCGTCGATTAGTTGATGCTCACTGTTACTGCCAGTGGCAGTTGTTGAAGTTTCAGGTTTTTTGTGATTCTTTTCTCAGCTAAGGATCAATCTGTAATGCGTCAGGAAACGCAGCAATACGCCAACAAAGGCAGGGAAGAAGAAGACTACGAGCTAGCGAACAGGAATGTTGACGATGCAAGGTCCGAAATATGTTTGCAAATAGTTTATAAGGAAGGAAATTCATTCAACGCTTTTGTTAGACCTGAAAGATCTCAATGTGTTTTAATGAGTGAAGCTCCACAGTACACCGTTAGGATAAGTTAGCAAGCTGCTGGCGGTAGCTTCATCTATAATCTTCATACATTAGTGGTTTCAATCTGAAAGTGAACAAGTGTATTCGCCAAAATGTTTTTCTTTCAAAGCGTCCATCATCTCGTGTGTTGTACTCTCATGTCTACATTTAACCATGTTTGCATGTGTCCTTACCAGTGTCCGGTCGGGGGGATGAAGTATATGCAGCAGTGGACTCTGGAGTCTGGAATCCTTTTCTTCCTGTTGATGTTGATCTCCTCCTGCAGGTACGCCTCGTACTGGTCATTAATGAACTTCATGATGGGCTGCCAGCTAGTCCATGGTGAGGGATGGATTGAGGTAACGATGAGGGAGGAGTGGAAAGGGAAGAGATGAGGAAAAGAGGAAGCAACACCGAGGTAGAAAGAGGAAAAGAAGGAGAAGGTGTAGATGGGTAAAAGGAGGAAAGAGGAGGAAGATAAGGATATAGAGAGGCAGAGAACAGGAAAAGTAAGGAGACAGGGAGGGGCATCTGGTTAGACACAATTGAAATACTTCACTATGTCGTCAATGCAATGATGGTGAAATAGTAGCGTACCAGTTCTCATTGTTGATCTGGTCTCCAAAACCTGGTGTGTCAATGACTGTCAGCTTCATTCTCACTCCCTTCTCCTCGATGTCTGCACACAAAGAAATATACTTTAATGTCAAAAACACTTTGTACTTTTAACTACTATTTAACCATGCACTAGAGATGCAAAATAAATGTAGCATGATTCTGCAACTGCACAGCTGCCAAATTAGAAAATGGGCTGGTTTTATGAGGCTAAGAATAGAGTTTAATCAAAGGTTGTTTCATCCAAGATTACAGTAATTAAAGAAAATTACAATTAGAGAAATGTAGAGTGAAATAAGGATAAGGTACTGTAAATGTTTGGAGCGACTACACAAGCAGTATGTAAGAGAAAAGTGTAAACACAGAGGGAAAGAGAAAAACAACTTAGTGGCAGAGAATGAGATGAGTGGATTTTGGCAAACAGATGACAGAAAAACACAAAAAAAAACAGGTAAAAAAGAAGGGACAGAGAGAAGAGCTGAGGGGTTCAAGAGGGCCATACCATGACTGATGGACTTTATTTCGATTGTTTTGGGGATCTTCTCCTGGGCTGTAGCCAGCACCGACTTACGGCTGACTTTAGACTTGAACAGCGTGTTCATCAGAGTAGACTTTCCCAGGCCACTCTGTCCTGTAAGGAAAAACACAGTCAGAGAGGCAGACAGTGAGACAGATGCACACACTGCAACATTGGTGCCATAAAAAACCCAAGCAAGACCCATTATTTGGACAGTTGGGACGACTCCACGCTGTCAGTTGACAGTGACGAGCTGCAGGTGTACGCCAGCACCAACACTGTCAGAAAAGCCATCAGGACACATGACTTCAACCCAAACACACCATCAATAAGACACATCGGATCCGTGGTAAATCAGTTTTTAGTCTTAAAAAAAAAAAATTCAGAAGGCTTGGATTATTGTGCACTAAGCCACCAGAAATAAAGAATCCCCCTTCAGACCTGTAGTAAATACTACCTTCAGTTTTTAATTCTGGGTGAGACTGAGCCAGAAAAGAATGGATGTAAATATGTAAAACTACAACCTTCATTCATAATATTTGCACACACATTTAATCTATACAAATGCATGAATGGTTGTCGTTTTCTTGGAAAGGGCATGACAATACTGCGAGTCTTGAATTTCACATTGCAGTTAGCTGATAAAAGGCTCCCCAAATGGAGGAGATTAATCGAGGTCGACTTTAGTGTAGAAGAAGCAGCAAGACTCACTCTAGACTCTCCGAGTCATCATAAACTGTTTGTTGATATGGATGGGACCCTCTGTGACTCCTGCACACCATGCTAACATCACCACAGGTTAATGAAGAGGAGTTTAGAGGGGCCCACTGGGCAGCGAACATTCACAGTTCAACTTCAAGTTAAGTCAACATGGAGACCTTTACTGATTTATGAAGACAAACTCAGACAGTCACATGGATCTGTACAACCGGTATGGAAGCCAACAGCTGCATTCCTTCTAGCACGGCTCCCCTTTCTTAAAGTGGCAGTACATAACGTCACCTAAACATGGAAACCAAGTTTGTTCTGTTTTGTTTACCACTGCCTCCACAACTTTATTTAAATCAGTCTCAAGCCTGAGACTGCTTCTAAAACAAACTTCTTTTTAATGAGAGGATGAAACACAAGACCAACCGGCGCGACATCATCCAGAGGAGACGTACAGTAGGGAGGCTGTGTGGGTTTGTCTAGTGTTGAGGTGTGTATGTGTAATTAGCCCCTGTTTTAAAAGGTGTCTGATCACAGTGATGAGGGCTTAGTGAGAAAGTGTTTTAAGTGGCTGCTTATTAAAATAAGTTTGAGGCCTCCATCTTCTGCCATGATTAGAGAGAAAACTGCATCATACTTGAATTACAAGACACATTTTAGTACAGCTGACTGACGATGTTTTGAGACACACGTTTAAGTGTAATGGTAACGAGTTGATAGCAAAAAAAATGTGAAATTGACTTTAGAGTCTGCACTTGATGACAAGGCTCACAGAATGAGAAAGAAAAAAAGTATCTCTGTGACTAAAAAGCGACCTTTTCAGTGTGCAGTACGTAGAACATTCATTCTCGCTCAAACTAAATCTGGACGATATGACTGAAACATTAGCTGGTGAGCACATGCGCTACTTACCCACAACCATGATGTTGAGCTCAAAACCCTGCTTCATGGCCTTCCTCCTCATCTGCTCCAGAATAGCGTCAATGCCCACGTAACTGAAGTCCACCCCGGGGCCGCCGGCCTTCTCCCCGTACGGCCCCCCCACTGCTGGGGCCACCATAGCATCAGGCACCACCGCCTCAGACATGGCACTGCTGCTGTAGCTGGGAATCACCTCGGGCCCTGGTTTGAAAGAGAGAGAGAGAGAGAGAGAGAGAGAGAGAGAGAGAGAGAGAGAGA